GCAGGAACACAGATACTTGAGATAACAGTTCCTCTTTTGATGTTAAACATGTCCTATGGAGGGGAGCCCTAAAAGTGGTGGGGGTCGAGGTGCACTAAAGGTGATCGTAAACACAGTGAGCAGGAAATACCTCCAATAACATTCTTTGTTTCTTTCAAATCCAACTAACAGAGAGGAATAATACCTTAACAAGACTAATACTTATCACACATCCTTATGTAGTCTTGGTAAAGCAAAGTACTGTTTCAAAATTGCATTTTGCAAACTCACCTGACTTCGTGAAGGCAAGAAACTTCACCCGCACTGTTGTGTCATGAACCTGCCATCTTCACTTGATACACCCCCATTGCAACCTAAAGAAATTAGATGGTCTTTGATTGTTTCAACTTTTAAGTTCTTTGTCCCAACCACAAGAGACCCTCTTCATACTCCGGCGGACACGACTTTTCTCCTGGCGTCATTGTGACGAGCTATTCTCGACATTCTTTCCTCTTTTCATGAAAAACTTTTTATTATTTTTTTGGCTCCCGTTTCAGTCTTATCAGGTTTCTGCATTTTCCCTCCAGGTCTTCAACTAATTTCAAATTATCCCCACCTACCTCCACCACTTCTCCTCTGCTCCCCACAGCAGTGACCATCAGCAAAATACTTCCCAACGTACCAATTTATATTTTATATGTACCAATTAAAAGTACATATAAAATTCGACCCGCCAAAGTGGCAAGTCCTGAAATGCACCCACATTTTGATGGTTAGCATCCTCATAGCAATATGAGGTACATGAACATGAAACTGTGTCTTTTTTTGGGAGAAGCAAGGTTTCCCCCCTGACAGTGGCGAATGGCGATAAACTTTTTCATTACAATTGAGCCCTCATTTTGATTTCCAAATGATGTCACCTTAAAGTGAGGGATGCTTAAGCTTGTGTACAATACGGTAGTAGTTTATTAAAAGACGACCAACATGGATCTGCGGCGCTTCCAGAAGGTTGCAGCTGCACAGCTCCAGTCAATTCAAGTAAAAAACCTAAAACATGTCATAAAAAAAGACAATGTGGAGAGAATCTTTAATGAAAGTCACATGGGAAAAACAATAAAACAAAAAGAGCTGATGTACAAGAGGGACGTCGCGAGCGTACCGCTGAGGGAAGAATACTGCAGCGCTGAGGGCACCAGCAACACACAGCAACACCTTAGCAACAACTGCTACACAACTGCGCCTAGTGCACAAAGACAAAATATTGAAAAAAAGAAAAAGAAAAAAAATAACGTTTCTTTGCTTTAAACATACAAAATCAGAGTGACTCCTGAATGGGAGCGTCCGAGTCCAAGTAGAGGAGCCACTTGTTAGAAATAGAAACCGCAGTAGAGTAAACCATCCCTTCCAACACCAGCCCACTCACTTGAGAGCAAAGGTTTAAAATCATAAAGAAAAGATGCAGAAACGAACAAGGAAGCAGAAGCCATGAGGAGAACCTTGTCCAGGAACAAGCGGCTTCTTGACCTGGAACATTATCATCCATCTTTTACCTGAAAGCAGGAAAAGGAAAGAAAAAAAAAAGAAACAAGTCAGCAGGTTAGGACAACTCAATTTTAAATAATTACATGACAATGATCTTAATTGGCTGTAAATGATATTGACCACCAAATGGATGCTTGTACAATGGCACCCTGACTTTGATGCTGCATTTCAATGCATACAGTGCAAAGACAAAGTATGCACCGCGTTCTCAAATTCTTACTTTTTTTGTGTAGTTGTCCCCACTTTAAGATCAAAGTAAATGTCTCTCCAAACTGAGAAAAACTACGATAGAAATTATGCGCAGGTTTGACTTTGAAAAGGTCATTCATGTTTGAAAACCCTCCAGTGGTGATTGTAAACATTAAAATGGGGAATCTGCGCCAAAAAATAAA